AATATCGAAAAATGACCTTTGCAGCAAAGTTATAGCTGAAGTCAAGATCTACAACTTAGCAAATAAAACATCTGATCAAATATACCAAACTATTATGAAAATCATTCAATACCAAAAATTCCACAAAAGTAACTAAAAGTAAATATGCCACCCCTAGTGGTGGTGCGAAACTTTACCGACGGGATGGTGGCAGTGTGACTTTTTGGCTACCCCATCCATCTCTGGTAGATATAAAAGTACATTAATTAATTTAAATGTTGTTATCAAGATAATCTATAAGTATTTATTGATCTTTAACTAGAAAATACTTGTCAAATTCATAGTCTTTCATTATTCAAAAGATAATTTCATGTATTTAATTAACAAAAATTCTATTATCATGATAAGTTGACAATAATAATTGATACGTCATTTTCATATTATTAAATGTTTACTTTTGAAATTTAAAAGAAACAATGCTCAACTAATATGTAATAGAAAAGTCTTGGCAAAAATGTCAACCTATATTAGACTATATTGCCAGCTTCTAAACCAATCAAATTTTTTTTGTTGTTGGAAAGAGCAAAGTCTGAACTATAAATTTTGTACCAGACTTGTTTTTTCTGAACGAATCTAACGAAGCAAGAGAAGCCAAAAACCAAACACTTCTAAAAATGTTCTTGCAACTTCACCTTCGCGCAATATCATTGTCTATTTTCTTTTCAGGTTTTTTTTTAGTAAAAGCGAAATGAAAACGCACATTTAATGATGATTTTTGTAGCATAAAGAGAACTCTTTCCAATGATGTATTCGAAATTAAATTGAGTCTTGAGTTCTTTAGAAAAATATGGCTCTTTTTGGATAGTATTGTATAATGTTATCTTCCTTACTACCTGATCGTTTTGTAACAACAAAGGAGGGTTTTGAATTCTTTTTTCAGCTAAGTTTCTAAGATCTGATGTATTTCGAACAAATAACATACAAAAATTTCAGTTCACACATAGTTTCTAGAGATTGTGATTGATTTCCTTTCACATTGATAGTTTTTGAAAAAAAGACTCTATTTTACAAAAAATTTGAATTTCCTATTTTTAATTATTTTCGATTGATTCATCAAACAATTGATGAGCTAGCTAGTAGTTGTTTGATAGCATTCTATAGGTTTTTTGTTTATATATTTATGTTTACAATAAGAATGTTCTTGTTCATCAATAGTTTGTTAAACATGTTGATAAAATTTATACTTGAAATAGTTAGAATTATTTAGGAATAAAAAAATCGATAAATAAATAATTTAAAAATCTTATCTGTTTTCGAGTTATGAAATTCAAAGTGATTGTAGAAACTGTCTATTTTGACTCTTTTCTATTTTAATTGATTTTTGTGCTGATCTCATTGTTAATCTATATTATCTGTGAACTGTCTACACAAAATATTTTCCTAAATTTAGATCTTATAGGAACTTAAATCTTAATGAGGTGAATGATATACAATCAGCTCTTAGTATATATTACTTTTGTTCAATAAATTCATACCATTCGATTGAAGTGAATTGTAAATATCAACATCAATCGATTTCATCTGAAAACCATTTATTTGATCATTGTTGATTGAAGTATTCAAATGTTGTTGTGGATAAAAATCATTATAATGAATATTTATATTATCTATAGAAATAATCTAAATTATATTTTATAATTTTCTGTTTTGAAAATATTCATACCATTACATGAATTAAAACTATTGAAATTGACAATAGTTGTTTGTTGATGACAAGCAACATTTTCATTATGATTTGCCAAAATATTACTATCATCAGGTGTTGGAAATGGACATTCAATAGATGTATTACCTAAAGAAAAAAAAAAAAAAAAAAAAATATATATATATATACGTATGATTTATGTAATATTTTTTATCAATATATTGATACCATGAAAAGTATTTATAATAACATTATTATTTTCAATTATATTATTATGTATAACATTATCTGAATTTTCATTGTAATACATGATAAAATTAGTTTAGTGAATTATTATGTATTGTTGATATGGCTGTTGTTGAAAAGAATTGAAACACATAATAAATAATATATTTGAATGTAATTCCCACATAAAGAACTTCTGTAACAAATGAAATTTCTATCATTCAAAATAAAAAACCTTTAACATATTTGAAAATTATCTTTTTTTTAAAATTTTTATCTTTATCTTGTTAATAATAAGAATTTTTTTAAAAATACAACATTATCTAAAGAGATGGCGTCACAGTACACTTTAGTTGTCTTTTGCATATGAAAATTTTTGCCAATTGAACGAAGCCTTTTGACGGAGAAAATTCGTTAAAAATTTATCAATTTCATGATTAACCCTCGTAGTACCGACCGGGATCATTTTTGACCCCACTCTCAAAAATTTAAAAATATACTAGAAATATTTTGCTGTTTCCCAATTTTTAGAAACAACTAGCATCCCTTAAGAATAGATATATGTTGTTGAATCTATAGGGATCTACACTTATGAATTTAATGCACCAATCAGAGAAATGGCTACTGTAATATAGTCGAAGTGCATTAAATCGGAATTAACTTTTCAATCAATTATGTTTCTTAATTCGGTATTAAATTTTCTACTGTAGACAAGGCCAATGGCACATTTCATCATTTCTAAAACGAATCCACTGATGCCTTTGTTCAGTTCATTTTTAGAATTGGATCAAATAAAAAAAATAATTGAACCGAAAAATTAGGCATAGCATACTATATTTTTATATGATATTTTCATCATAGCCATTTTTCATTTTTTAATTCTTTTCATATTCTTCACTGTTGACATCATGAGCATTCTTAGTTTCATTGGTTCTGCTACCACTCAGCAGCTAAACAACACAAACAAGCGGGTCGATAGAACGAAGCCGTGTTATTCACAGATCTAAAGTCTACTCTACTTGCATTACATAGTAAAGTGAATGTTGTTTCAGATTGATTCATAGCTAATTTAAATATACTCATATCTAAGTTCTCTCGAATAAGATTCTTCTGAGATTTTTGAATACTTACATTACCAATTCTATTATCACAAGGTGTTTTAGGGGTATAGAGTCCAAAAATTGACGTTCGTCTTATGGGCGAAAATAAAGATTTGATTTTTTCAAAATAGTATTAAATGATATTTTGCATTTATTTCTCAGTGATCGGATGAATTTTCAAATTTTCGCATAGTGGTGGTTATTAACTGATTGTGAATTTTAAAGCAAACGGATAAAAAACAGATAGATTCTTTTCGTTTCTAAAACATAGTTTGAATGCAATATTTTCAGAAATGTTCCTCTTGCAAGAGATTTCCTTCAAAGATTTTCAATTATGAGACAGAAGTACTCTTTAATCCACAATATATATTCATGCTCTAAATGAAACATGTGAGTTTATAGTATCTCCAGCATTGCAAATTGGTGAGAGTATTTATTTGCGATAGAAACAGATTAAAAATTTGTTCGTTGTTACAGTTCATATTTGGAATCGGAAAGATTCACGATAACTGTAAACTATGATTATTTGTCGCCACCTCCAGAAAGGTTGTATTCTTTCTTCTAATAAGTATAAACAAAATCTATTTAGTTAAATGATATTATCTTGTGTATATATATGGGGGTGTCCAGTCTGACCGAAGGCTCCATTAATATTTTTTGGTATTGTAAGGACAAAATATACGATTATTTGGATCATATGATAGAGAATTACAGATAACCCCTAGATTGGTCCGAACAACACCATGTTTTGTCCTTACAATAGTAGAGAAAAGTTACCAGTTTATTGTGTGAGCTAGTAAGTTTTCTCTACTGTTGTAAGGGATAAAACATGGTGTTGTTCTGGCCAATCTAGGGGTTATCTGTAATTCTCTATCATATGATCCAAACAATCGTATATTTTGTCCTTACAATACCAAAAAATATTAATGGGACCTTCGGCTAGACTGGACAGCCCCATATATATATGTATAGTAACAAATTGTTGTTATATGCTAGTATTAGATGAAAATAAACTTTAATTCTGATGCACATAAACTCACTCCAATTATGATCTTAATCTTTATAGAAATCTTGACAATCACAACACTCTTTTTGGTACAATATCTGAAATATCAAAATTAGAACATATGAATATTAAACAAAATAATGATAATTTTGATGATCTTAATTGACATGAAGGTAAATTATATTATGATCTTACAAATAAAATCGATCTGAAAGCTCACACACAATCTGTTCTTATATTATCAACAATAAATTTAAATCCATTAGTTGCTGTAAGAAAAATATTTTTCTTCAAAACAAAAACTATTTTTTATTGTAGTTATTCAATTTAAACGATAGAGATATGAATGATAGTCAAACTATCTTTGAATATCTTGATCATGAATTAACTGTTCATTTTGCTAATGATCTTATATATGCTCGTACACTCTATGTTCAATATTGTTCATCTCCAATCTGGTCTTGACGTTCAATTCAACTTTTTTATCAAGGAATTGAACAAGCATATCAACAACTTGACTATACACTTCTCAAAACAACAACAATTATATCATTATCAACATTTATTTCTTTATGTACAGGTTTATCTGAAAAAGAATTGATTAAATTTAAGGGTACCCCCCTCCTCTTTTTTGACACTTGCTGGTTCTCGAAGATGGTACAACCGATCAAGCTGGAATTTTTAGCACAGATAGAGCACTAAAAATAAAGAGATATGTGTCCGAGGAAAAAAATTGTAAATAACTTTTTATGGGATTTTCCGGAAAACTCTGGTTTTCCAGAGGTTCGCATCCTGACACATTACGACCCTCCTTAAAGTTTGTCTGATTGGACTGAAATTTTGTTTATAGATGCCTAACACTATTCCCCAGAGGTAGATTTAAGGATTTCCAAAAATCTCACTTTCTTCTTTTTTTATAAGAAAACTACGCCCAGAATTGAGTTTGTGCTTCAGATCTTGACTTTCACGACCCGGTAACTCCGAGTAGGAACGTCAAAAATGAAAACGCTTGATTCTACCTCTGGAGAATACTTCGAAGTATTAGTCGTGAAATTTTCAGCTCGATCGGACAAACTAAAAAGGGGGTCGTAAGCAGGCAAGATCTATAAAATCGCTGTTTTACAGAACGCTAAATAAAAGAAAAAAATTTACATACGATTACTATGAAAAAAAAAATTTTCTCGATCTAATAAACAGGTAAAAGTAAGACATTTTGAGTCGAATAATGTCTCTAGCTGCACATGGCACCTCAGGCTATCATATCTTGGGCTCAGCTCAAAATCGAGTTTTGGGTCAAAAAAGAGGGGGGGGGGTACCCTTAATGATACAACTCATTCAATAATTAATGAAGATGATTTATTAATTACACTTCATTGTAATTAGGATACAGTCAATACACAAGATTACATACAATTACAAGATTGATTTCAAAAGAAAAGTATACATTTATATATCCTAAACTATATCATATAGTTAATGTAAATCTTTTAAATAGTACCCTGCCTATTGTTGTTAAAAATCGTATGAAACAATCAATTGCAAATAATAAAACACGTTCTGCTGTACTTATTTTAACGCAAGATAAAAATGAAATTCAAACAAGAATTTTCTATCGATTTATTTCTTGGTACTTGATTGCATCCACTTTTTGTTTAATTCTACATCAGTACCTGAATATGTATTTGAAATTATTCTTGTTCTTTCAACATTAGCTAGTTTATCTGATATAGTTCATGTTAATGAATTATATCCATCTGTTATCACAAAAGTAATTCAACCAAAAAAATATGCTGTGAGACATTATAATTTAGTAAAGAATTTTATTCACAAAAAAAGTAAATACTTATAATTGTTTTTTTTTCGATCAAAAAGTTGATGATGAATTACAATAACATGGCTGTGAATTAGTTATACTTGATCGTTATGCATGTCATTTATCATGGCATGGCGTGGTCGTTCATTAAATATTTATCCATCATTTCGTCATAGTAGTTCACTAATTCGTGATACCATACAAGGTGATATCCGTATAACAGGTGTAATTGTTCATTTCATTGATGATTCTGATAATGATAGTGATGAAGCAATTATTGCACAAGAAAGTAATTCAGTAACACTAATGGAAACAGAAAATCAATAACCGAAAGACAGGGTTATTCTTCTTCTTTATTCAAAAAGCGATTGCAAATGAATACTTATCATTTGAAATGAAAATCTTCCAATCATGAGCACCTTTGTCTAGTGTCGATGGTGCTCACATTAGGGAGGTTTCACTGTACTGATATATCTTTCTTTGCATTGGCTCATAAACACTTTGATCTTCTTCTATTTAGTGTAAATTTCAAAAACAAATGTTTTCTTTTTGTTGATCATATTCATTTAAAAATTAAATTTCTTATGTTGTCGCTGTCTTCATTATCATTCTATAGTAAAAGTCGAATATTTGCAGATCACCTCAAATAAGAGAATGAAGAAAAAACGAAAGAGCACGCATACTACAAGAGAATAATCAACCCATGAACGAAAAAAAGAATACATATGTTCAATTTTTCTCTTCAAAAGAAAGGTATGTGTATGTATGACAAAAAAATTACGTTTAATGTATACGAATGATAAGAGCAAACAAAAGAAAAAAAGGACCGCAAGGACAGAAAAAAAAGATACAAATACACTGGCTTTGTACAACATCAACAACGAGCGCACACATAATTATGGGAGACCGGGCTTGTTTATACAACCGTTTGTTGTCTACATTCTAATGTACTGATTAATTAGCACCGTATCGAATAAAACATAAGGATGACAATAAGAGTAGTTTTTTTTTTCTTATGAAGATGAAGGTGGTAAAGATGATTCTTGTTCCTCATCACCTTGTTGCATAGGTGATGAACCACGTGGATCGATAACGGGCATATTTTCGGGTAAACGATTTTCTTGTTGTTGTTGTTGTTGTTGTTGTTGTGGGATAACAACTGGAATTGGAACGGGTGCAGTTAAAACTGGTGTTCGATTTGATCGATTAGGAGATTGTTGTTGTTGTTGATCAGTTGTACTACCTGAAAATGATGGATATCGATGAATAAGATCTCGTACAGCTTCCTCATATCGTTCAACCAATTGATGTTTATTTATTGATACTGAATGATAATGTTGACCTATTGGTTGTTCAAGTAAACGTTGAAGAAATTCTTCAAGTGATAATGAACGTTCAGTCGCTAAATGAAACAATCAAAAAAATAAAAATAAATTTGATGTTTTTTAAAAATTTTTATCATACGTTCTAATTTATCAAGTAATAAACACCATATTCGTTGAATTTCTGTTATATAAGCTTGATCTTCTTCTGAACTAAGTTTCAATTGCATTAAACAAGGAAGAAATTGATGTGTCATTGTATCAAGACGATATTCAGGATCAGTTTTAAAACGATTTATAACAACATCATTCCATCTCTATCAATAGAAATGATTGAAATTAAAAAAAAAACAAAATAGAATAAAATCAAATATCACTTCAAAACATAATCGACGAGCTTTAAATAAAAGACAACTATCCATTGCTCTCATCGGCAATGTACATTGTTTTGAAAGACGTAAATTGTATTCACAAGCAACACAAAAATATGTTATCGCGTCTTCAAATCTAAATAATCATATTATTTAATATATTAATAAATACGTTAATCTTTTTTTTTTCGTTTGAGATATTATTTCTTGCTTAAACTATTATTGATTTATACGTAACGAAAACATCACAATTTCAAAACCTCTAATCTGTATTATATTCTTTCCATCAAGGGTTCTTCTCGATAATAATAATTAGCAGAGATCTAAAAAAAAAAACATTTATGTAGCTGAAAGAATTCTCCATTAGAATTGATAGGTTCGAAGACTCCAACAAAATTGCTTGAATGAAGATGTGTGGAAAACCAAGATCGTCAGAATCAGCTTTCTGACATTCATTTGAAGCTTTTTGGAAATGATTTTATTTGATAGAGCAAAATGAGACATCTCTTCATGACGTTTCTTCATCGAACTGCAATTAATTTAGAGAAAATTTCAATGTTTTTACTATGTCTGACGCTTTAGGAACTTTTGTAAATTGAATGAAATTCGATGAAAGATGGTTGGCGACATCTCCTCTTGATCTATCAAATAAAATTTTTTCTCAAAAGCTTTGAATAGTAGCCAAAAAGCTGGCTTTTGAAGATCTTAATTTTTCATAAACTCTCATTCAAGCAGTTTTGTTGAAGTCTTCTGGCTTACCAATCCTGATAGAAAATCGTCCCAACTACACAAATGTTTTTTTTTCAGGTTCTTTCTAATTGTTACTATCGAGAAGAAACTTTGATCAACAAGATACCATATAATATCTTCTATGTGTATCCTCAAAAACTCAATTAAGTATCAGCACAGGAGATATTGTACGAACACACCGACACTATACTAGTATTTAATTGAGTTTCCGAGAAAATGCTGAAAAAGCATCTAATCATTTTTCTATGAAATTTTGACTCTTATTTGCTTTAATTGAATATTTTAGATATATACTCAATTAAAAAATGACTCAAGGAAATAATCATCTGTACAAAAAACAAAAACCAAATCTTTTACTTACTTATCTTCATTCATTAATTGACAACCAGCAAGAAATGCAGCAATAACGGATCGAAAATCTTTATAGTCCGTAAGAAGTTTCTATTAATATAATTTTTTATATATTTAATTTTATTTATTCTCAAAATAAAAAAAAATTCACTTGATATTCTTGAACTTCATCATTAGACATTTGCATATCATTACATATAATTTGTGCTTGTAATTTAAATATTCTTAATCTAAAAAGTATATATATATATATATATATATATTTTCTAATAATGAAAAACAAAAAGTTCTTTACCGAATGTCATCATTTGGAAAAGTTGCAAGTCTTATAATATCATACATGACACGTTGTCGATAGATTGATTCAACACGATTTGCTGATAAATATGAAAGAACATGTTGTAAACGATAATCATTATGTGGCAATGCTGATGTGATAATATTAGCTGTATGTAAATAAGTTTTGATTTCTTTTTCAACAATCTATTTAAAATTCAAAAGAAATATTTTTTGTTTTTATTTGAAAGAAATATTTAGTTTACCTCTTGAAGTAAACGATCAACTTCAATTGAAAGAATTTTCGGTGCATATGTTTTTAAAACACGTAATGTTGAATCAAGTACAGGTTTAACTATTTCTGAATCTAAGATATAGGTGATATTTCACAATTCTATATGTCTTGTTTAGATTAATTCAAAAAGACAAAGAAATAAAAAAGTAAAAAGTCTTTGGATCCAATCTTGAAAACTTGGGAGTAATGCTTTATTTTTTATTCCTTACAAATGTAATCTAGCCTTGAATAGACTTTAAAAATGCTCTTCTAAATATAACTATCCTACCTTTTTATCAACATCTTATGAGGAAAGTCCTTCGACTGATTAATTGCTTTTGAGTCGTGATTATACGCATTATGTAGACCCTAAGGAGATATTAATATCTTGAAAAGAGTTTGTGCTCTTAGTTTATCACTGCTGAGATACTGTCGTCCATCTCAGGAACATTCCAAAATTCGTTTTCGAATTTTGATTTGAAATTTTGCACAGAGACAAATCTTAACAAGAATAGTTTATTGTGAAAATTTCACCTCTTTTAATTTTGTTCCATTTCTGAAATAAGAACAATAAATCTGTCGGTGTATATGAGCAGTAGAGTCCATCAGGTTGAGGGTGTGGTGTATGGACGAATGCCATACTTTGGCCCACACCCACTCCATACCCTGGTTTCCTACTCTTGTGTCGTCATTCAACATAATAAAAACATCTGATTTATTTTGTTATGTAAACAGAGCTATTATCTAGTCTACACTGGAACCCATTGGGTGTGAGTCGGACCTGATGGGCTCTTCCCACAAAAGATTAATCAATCAGGTTCGAATCCAAAATTTTGATCGACCGGATCCTGATCCAAAGAATGTTACCAGCCGGATCCGGGTCCGAAATTCTTGGGTCCGATGGGCTCTAACCTCTGATAGACCATATCTAACTCATTTCAAAAGAGATTTCTCATCTAATTGATAGAGTCATTAATAAACATACCACTAGGTGCATTTGGTCCAGCAAAAAACGGAATCATTAGTGCACGATGAACTGGCTGTTGTTTTTCAATACGTTCACATATTGATTTTAAATCACTATGAAGTTGTTCAAGTTTAATACTTTCAATTTGTTGTTGTAATAAAACTAAATCATCATCTAAAACTCGTTGAAGATCAACAGGAAGTTCATATTGTATATCTAAATAAAACTATATGATTACAAAAAAAAAAACAAAAAAAGAAAGGTTTTGAAAAATTTACAAACCATTGGATAATGATTCTTGTTCAGCATTTATATAGACTAATAAATAAGCACTTGGTACACGTGGTTCTTCACGATTATTTTGTGCTCGTTGACCACCAATACCAGCATCAAATACATCTGTCCATGTAGTTTCACAAACTAGAACTAGAATATTAATTAAAATAAATAATAATATGATTATTTACCTTCATTATCATTATAACGATACCATTTTTGTCGATCATTATGATAAACATAAGTCCAAAAATGTCCAAGTGTTGCACTTCCTTCATGTACACAAACAGCATGTAATGTATAACGTACCTGAAAGCAAAAAAAAAAATTTGTTTTTATTAAATACTATTAACTTCGTTTGCTTTAACCTGTTTTAATTGTGGTTCATCATATAATTGTTTTAATTCATTTTTTAAACGTTGAATTTCTTCACGAATATCTACATAGAAATTTAATAAATTTATCTTAGGAAGAATATTACACTTACTAGCACATTTAGCTTCAACTTCTGTCAACCATATTGGTAATGCATTTTGAATAAATTGAAGTTCTTCAGGTGATATATGTGATGGTTGAATAGGTACTTGTGTATGTTGTCGAACACGATTTGGTGTTGTTTGATCGGGAGAAGTTGATTCCGTCCTTAAAATATAATTTTACAATCAACAACAAATGACTTGCTTTTCTTGAACAATAGAATACGACATCTTCTTTGTTCTTACATTTCTTTATAGATTGTT